GTTTAAATAATTTACAAAGATTATTAATTGTCTTACCTTTTTAATAGCATTTATTTCATTAATTGTTTTTTTTTTGTATATTGTATTAATAATTAACAATAATTCTTAATTGTCTTTACCTTCTTGATAGGTGTTTTGTCTAGCCACAAGTTTAACGTTTGCTTCTATCCCTCCTTTAGCGAAGGACGAATCAATTCTGAAATTAAGAAGCAAGCAAGTCGTATTTTTAGTCATCATTTAAGCTTTTATAATAAATAGCTTGATGTGTTATCTGCGTCTTAAATACCGGAAAATCTCGAATAAAATGCAACAATAAACTCTAGACAATCTGCTTAAAATGTCACTACAAAATTGTTATCCTATTTCATGGCCTGACATTTATTCTGATTAATTGACACTTTCATCTATTTATATCATCTAATTTATTTAGCCAAATGCTTTTCAAAGTGATTGCCAGCTGTTGGGCGCTCTTTAAAGGCCACACAAAACAATGACAGCCATAAATAATGGGGTCTCGTTTCTAGACTGTTTTCTCTTCTCTGGCCAAGGCTCTGAGGCTCTGAGGCTGACCTGCTTGCTTGCTTGCATTTCATTTGCGCTTGAAAAATTCTATTTACACTTTATGATTTCTTTATTTAACACTAATTGCTGCCTGAGATGCTGCCTTTATTTCATGTTTTACTTGGCCTTCCGCTTTCGCCTTTTGGCCGGCAAAGCGAGAGAGAGAGAGAGGATCCAACTGAAAGGCAGGGTCCAAGATGCACAGCCAAAACAATAGCAATCAAATAAATGTGTAGAAAAGTGCAGAGCAAGCAGTGGCCGAAACGCAGCGTAAATACTCTTTATACGGTTGCAGGTTTCAGCGTGTCCTTCTGGGATAAGGTAACGCTTCTGCCATCTGGCATCGAAATGATTGGCAGACAAGGCATTTCTGATGCCAAAAAGTTAAGCAGAAAAACCGTTGATGACGGGTCTAATAAGATACATAAATACACACACACACACACACCACACTCTCACACATATGTACATATGTGTGCATCTCAGATAATATCCCAAAAAAGAAAAAGTTTTCTTTACTTGCTTTTTCTTTGGATTTATTTTTATATGCCTTTTGCCTCAGCATATGCTTGTTTATGGCTCTCTGCGTTTTTTCATCTTCTTCTTCTTCTTGTTCTTCTTCTCCTTCAGTATTTCTGCTGCTGAATTTTCCCTCAGTCTGAATCTGAGTCTGAGTCTGAGTCTTCGTCGTCTCAGCGTCTCTGTTTCGCTTTTCTTCGTGTAAAGTTTATTTTTGTTACTTATTATTATTATTCCAACGCTGCCTTGTTTTGTTTGTTGGTCTTGTTTTCTGTGTGTGTGTGTGCGTATTTTTCTGTAATTAATTTCGTGCTTCGAAACATCTGCAGCTGAGGATTTTTACTGCTGCAGCCGAAATTACGCATACGCCCCCCCCTACCACGCCCCATGTAATGCAGACAGGCTTCCTCTTGATGGTTTTGCTTTCATCTTCGGCTACAACATTTTGTGCCCCAAATTTGTTTGTCTTAAAGTTCTCATTTCCCCTGAATGGCAATTTGTTGAACAAAATTAAATGCTGTAAATAAATATTTTTGCTAAAGAGATAGACGAGAGAGTGCCCGGGTAAAGTGGCCTACACACAACAAATTCTTGCAAATTTCATATGAAACTGCAACTGCAGCAAACGGCGCAATGTGCAATGCGCCGTGGCGGCCCACAAGGGAAGCACCCAGAATACCACAGACGACTAGAACGACGTTCCACATGAGCAGTCGTGCTTAGAGGCGAGTGTAGAGCATAGCCTATGGGCTGCCATGGGCTGTGGCACGATCTAGGATCTATAAAAAATTTACAAGAAATAGTAAAAAAATATATCTCTGAATTTTCCATAAAATAAGGGCTTAAATCTATGAAATATATTATTATATTTTTTTATTATTATATATTATTATTATTATATGTTATTATTATTATATATTATAATCGTCTTTAGCTATACACTTAAATATGTTTGGTTTTAGCTGAGAAAAATCTAAGGAAAAGTTTAGAAAATACTAGAAAAATGTATCTCTGAGTTTTCCCATAAAATAAAGGCTTTAATCTATGAAATATTCCAACATTATTCATCATTAGCTATGCTAAATCTCTTTGGGTTAAGCTGACAAATATTCACTGGCAAATTCTTCTACGCTGGAAAGCTCATCCGACAGTCACTCAATTTGAAACATTTACCTGGTGGTTTTTTGGACTTGCATTTGCCTATGTGCCACTGCCACTGCCACACCGCAGTGTCGCGTCGCGTCGCGTCGCTACGTTCCAAGGCAAACAGCCCACAGTGGCAGGGAGGGGGACGGTGGGGAATGTGGCATGAAAGGAAGTACCAGACTGTGGCATACACTTGTATTTACAGCATCCTGCATCCCCCTCCAGAGAGTTGGGCAATGCAAACCAAAAGTTTTCATGCAACATTTTCACTCCCGTTCCACTTTTCGTGCGCAAATCTCGCAACGCTCTACTTTTGTGGCATAATCCGACGGTAAGAGTGGGGCTCGAGGGGGGTGTACGGATCACACAAATCAGTGCAGAAAATTTGTCAAACAGCAACAATTCTCAGGATAACTAATCCACTCACAGATTTCACACTTCAATTTCCGCAAAGGTGGGCTGGTTGTGGCGCCACACACATCCTCTCATACTTGCAAACACAAGTTGCAAGTTATTTGTTGTTGCACCTCCCACCCACCCCATCGTTATTGTTGCCATGTTCCATGTCCTTTTCCATTTCGATTGTGTCACTTACATGTTGCGCTGCTGCCTGCCACTGCCACTGCCATTGCTACCGCCAAAGCACAAAAATTTGCCAAACACGAACGGAGTACGGATTGTGAGCTGGTGAGCAGGGTAGGGGAACCCCAACCGGAACAGCCAATGATTTGAGGAGTGCGCCCAGGCAATTTCACATCGGGCACGTATGCAAACAGTGGCCAAAAATGTGGGCGTTCTCCCTGTCTCTCTCTGCACCCGCCCACAAAAGGGCCCCGTGGCGAACTATGCCAAAAACTGTCGGCTACAATTTTGTCGGCTGGGGGTAAGGAAAACGCATAAACAAGCAACAGCAAAAAAAAAAAAAAACACCAAAAATCTTATCAAAGATATTTGAACTATTGGATACCCGCTAAACGAAAATGAATACAATTTTAGAGGGAATTTTTAAGAGGAAATCTCTTGGGAATTAATTAATTATTAAATTAATTAATTGCTCGCTGCTTTTGAAAGGGAGAATAAGCCAAAAACTTTAGGTTTCAGCAACGAACTGCTTAAGCTGCTTGCAGCACTGCTTTATGACTGCGTGTACTGCTTGATGATTCTTCTTTTACTGCTTATTTGAAAACGAACTGCTTGAACCAAAGCTTCATGTTTAAGCCAACGCGCTGCTTGATCACATGAAAATTTAAACAAACCTTTAGATCTCAGCATTGCGATGCCTTGCAAAGGAGAAAATTGAGCCCAACCTTCAGGCTGACACGATCATTTCAAGAGAAATTTTCCAGCTAACGTGCAGCTTGAAGTTAAATAAAACCGAACCTGTCATGTTACAAACGCATTCACGCATCGATTACACCTCCAAACCCCAGCAAATACCCTGTATAAAAACGAGAATACGTTGCCCAAACAACTACAATATGACAAATTCAGCTTCGTCTCTGCTTGGGCCTCCGTCTATGCAGAGTGAAAGAGAGGATGTGTGATGGTCCTGCCCTCCAGTACAATTTCCGTTGCAACGACACAATAGACAAAAAAAAAAAAAAAATGGGTGGGTGAGGAGTGAGGCCAAGCTGAAAAAGCTGCAAATCTATGCCTAACTACAAAGTAAGCAAAAATCGGAACTGGTTACAGATTGAGTCGTTGTCGGGGAGGACGGACTCTGGTGCCTGGTATGTCATCGTTGTGGTTTGTTGCCTCAAGGCCGCCTGCTGCATATGGGAGTGGATGATGGAAATGCATTGAAATGCAAGCAACGACACAGAATTTGCAAGCAATTTTCACTGACGAGTGTCAAGAAGAAAAGTTTCAGTTTATGCTGGGAAAATTCTAGGAAGATTCCTCGAAGGATCAGCACATAACAGAAAAAGATCTCAGCTTCCGTTTAGACATATATTTAAACTATAACCCATTGTCTGCTACTTGCACTTTAAATGTAATTTCGTACCTAGCAAGCAGCACCCCCCAAAAAACACCTCCACGCCAGCACCTGTTTTTTTTTTTTTTTTTTTTTTGGTAACCCATTTATAATGTCGACGCAGAAAACACGTTATGAAAAGTGCATTTTTCGGTGCTGTCCCCCCAGTGCGACAATAAGAAACCCAAGCGAACAAAACAGCTGGACAGAATGGAATGGCCAAAAAACAAAAAAAATATATGGAAACCCCCTCCGACTTCTGGCATAAAATATCACACGTTGAAAACGTTTTTCGCGCGCATTTGGTGTGGCATTTAATTAAATGCATTTTTATTTTTAACGTCACATAAAATATGCGCAAAAGAAAAAGGGACACACCAAAAAAAAAAAAAAAAACAAAAACCCGGAACAAGGAACACAGAGGACCACAAGAAGCAGAAGGCGAAGCGGGTGCACAGAAAAAAAGGTGTTAATGGTGTGACTATGAAATTCCATTTGCATACCACACCTAAGCCAAAAAGGAACAAAAAAAAAAACGAACCAAAAAAAATAATAATTAAAATACCATAAGCATAGTTTTTTTTTAAACAAAAAGAAAAAAAACGAGCAATAATTTTTAATGTAATTTTTCTTACATTTTTTCTGTATGTGTGTGTGTGTGTGTGTGTGTGGCTGGTCCGGCTGCTGGCTTAAGTAATGGTAATTAGCTCGTGGAAAAATCCATTAGCCGTAGACGCAGCAACACAGAGGGACGCAAAAAAAAAAAATGTGACATTTTTCATTTTCATTTCCAATTTTCTTTAACATTTTCCACATCATTCACGATGCCAGAGTAAACGCATGATCACAAATTCAAAGAAAAAAAGCACTGCGATGCCAATAATCGCCGAATATACACCAAGGGCCAATACTTCACCCAATTTAAGGGAAGTTCTCTTCTCCTCGGCGAGTGTCTCCTCAGATACCGCCTCAAGCGGTGAGGGGCCAAAGTAGAGGCTGACCAATAGTATCGTTAGACTGACATTACAAATCCAAACGCAGGACCGTTCAAAGCGTGTCATCGCATAGAGGGTATTGCGGCTAAGCCAGGGCCCAGTCATGGGGCTGACTAGAAACCAATTGAGGAAACGCTGCTCGAAACTGTTGCGGAAACGTCGCTGCCACGACAGCACCGGCTTCTCACTGGCGGATCGTGTGAAGTAGGGTGATCGTATGAAGGGCGTGTACCCCTCCTCGATCCATCTTTCGACGATAAACAATTGCTCCATATCTGTATTCAAATCGATAATGGTCACTGTCCGGCAATACCAGCGCGGATACCGTCCATTTCGCTCAATGCCAAAGGCCAATCGGGTGGGTATTTCAACGGCACCGCCAGGCAGTGTGATTTTATTGATGCTATTCCGTAAGAGACGCGGACGGCCCGGATCCTGTGATATGATGTACGACACCTGTTTGCCTTTTGCCGTTTTGAAGTAGAATTTGATATTGGATGTGGTACCAGCGAACTCCTGGCCGCCAGTCTTCACCAGCACCAGCATATCCTTATCCGAATCGAATGTCATATCCTCCTTGAATCGCACATGCTTGTGCCTACACTCCTGCACATGCCGATGCTGATGGGCGGACATCCGACCAATATATGTGAAGAGTACAAACATCAGCAGTAGGAACAGCATCAGGAACATGGCAAACATATACCAATTGGTTTCCAGTATGGGCAGCACCATCACCGTAATGTATCGTTCGGCGGCAACGGGAAATATGCGCGAGGCTAGCGGTCCCAGGATATCGCAGGTGCATTTCACAAACATACCATTCTCATTGTCCAGTTTTGTGCTGCAATATTTTGCGCTCCAACCGGGATTCAACGAGCGATTCGACCAAAAGTTACATTGATAAGACTCGAGCAGAATCGAGTAATTCAAACATTTCTTAACAATATGCTGCACGATGTGTGGATGAGGAAGAAAAAATATAGATGTTAGTTATCGTTATTGTAAACGTATAATTTAGTTAGGATTAGTAAAAAAGAACAAAAAAAAGGTATAAAAAAAGGTCAAATTATAAAAAAATTACAAATTTAATAATTAAATATAGTTGAGTACAAACAAAAGTATTAACTTAAAGAAAATATATGTAGAATAAAAATTAACTTAGCAAATTAGGTAAAAACAAAAATGATCGGACAAATAATTCTTACAAATATAAAAGCAATTTAAATAAATTAAAATTAATGTCAAAAATTAAGAAAATGTTTAATAATGATAATATTAATTAAATAATTAAAAATAATTGAATACAAACAAAAGTATTACCTTAAATAAAATATATCTAGAATAAAAATAAATTTAACAAATTAAGTAAAAAAAAAAAATTATCGGACAAATAAATATTGGACATCTTACATAAATAAAACCAATGAATTAAAATTAATGTTAAAAATGTTAATGTTAAAAAAAGTTGAAAAAAAAAACAATTTGAAAATTATGCAAAATCTGAAAAAAAAAAATTCTTTTTTATCGAAAAAATTATGTTAGTATCGAAAATCTCAATTGTATTAAAAGTTGTAGTTGGATTCGACCCTATTCCTACCTTTAGGCTAGGACCTTGACCCTTCCTTGTCTCATAATGTGTATGATCGTCCTGGAGCTCATTATCTTGACTGAGTACACCCACATAGGCAATGCTAGTGTCTGGGCAATTGTTTGTCATCCAAATGCGTTTACCCCCCATTTCAGGTGTGATGCGACAAGACTTCCGCTTGATTTCGTGCAATTCGGGCTTCGCATTCAAAGTCATCGAAATACAAATGGGATCTGAGACTTGTACGATGCGCACAGCCAGCACACTTTTCGATCTCAAGGGTATCGTATAGTAGTGTATGTGCGAGGCACTCAGAATTGTGCTATTGGCCATCCATTTGACAAACTCTGGATTCGAACTGAAGTCGGATATGTTCATGTAATAGACCAACGGATTTTTAAGCGGATGCCGCACACCCATCGGATAATTCTTTTCCGGACTGTAGGCATGCACAACGAGTACGTTCGTCTCCGAGGGCAATGGCTCCGGATACCACCAGTATATGTTGTGAATATTCTGCTGCGATATGATCTGAAAGAGTATGGTGTCACCATCCAGCATTATGCTCAGTTCCTCAAGCAGTCCCGGAGATATCTCCACCTCGTGTATTTGATCGATTGTGTTTACGGTCAATTCGACAAGGGGTTCTGTTACCTCCGTTACATTCATCTGATAGGCAATGCCACCCTGGAGCACGGTCAGCGCCTCATCGTAGGCATGGTGTCTACGGGTGCCGAGCACACCCAGATAATAGATGCACTTGTACAGATACCAGGTGACCTTTAGCCACCAATTGATGCGCAGCAGGGTGATCGGATCCACATCCATAACAAGTTTACGCTCCATCCCCACATTCTGTCCCATGTTGCAAGTGTCATCGTATGTCTTGCACTGTGGCGGTGCATGCTTCTCCGTTCGCATGGCCATGTAGTACAAGAAGTACATGTGCTGATCGGTCAGCGAATTGTACGCTGCCCGATGTAGCCATTCCAGCTGCTCGATTATCTCCTCGAATGCCAGGCTCATGCGCGTGAATATGCCCGTAACCAGTGCGGCACCACGATAGTCCATGGGCGACAAACGTTTCACAATTTGTGCGGCCAACACTGAGAGCTGTTCGAGCTGTGTGCCCGTTATGATATCCTCAGCGTTCAGATATCTGTAGATCGCTCTGCCCTCGATGGCTGTATTGATCCGCTGTACAGCCACCAGTGCCATGACATAGGCCTTGTTCCATCTGCCATGCCTCAGAAAATACGCCATCGGACTGATGTAGGCCTCTATTTCGAACAGATGTGGTAGCGTATTGTTCACGTCTATTTCCCCTATTTGATCGGTTCTAGACACATCGACATTGAGTGTTGAATCCACGCACATGTCAAGGTAATCGCATATAGATATATATAGTTTTTTGGTGGCCGGCAGTGTCGTTTTGAATAGACTGTAGGGTACATTCGAGTCGATAACACCCAATTTAACTGTATACCTATACTGTAAGGGTGGATATTTCGTTTTGAAATCGTTGCAGCCCAGATAAAAGTTTGTATACGCCTCCAAACCCTTTTTGGGCCATATTATGCATTCACCATCCTGTGGGCCATCGTTACGCTTAAATTCTAGGTGCGCCTCACCCGAGGTACCATCCGTGAGTATGATCTCCAGTCGTACATGCATCGCCGAATCGGTGTGTCGATGAACGAGATGCGAAAATTTCGATACCAGCGCATGCGCCTTCCCTGGCGTATTCACATACCATGAGTAGCTGCGAATCTTTGCTCTACAATCCAAGCATTCACCCATCAAGTGAATGCTATCGATGGGTGCATAGGCATTCATATAGCAATTTCTACGGCAACGTATATGTGGCGTTATTGTTTTCTCCTTGACAACTTCCAGCATTTGATATTCGGTGGCATTCACAAGGTGATCCATGCGCGAAAATAATGACAAACTGATGTTATAGAATTTGCCCGCTTTAAATCCATTTGGTGGTATTTTGATTATTACCTCTGTGGAATACATTTAAAAATTTTAAACGAGAAGGAACGGGTGAGTCGCTTCTGGGGACGCGACTCTACTTATACCCGTACTCAGTCAGTATATACATATTTGAGCTTATGATTTTTTAGAATTTTACAAAAAAAATTTACATATTAAAATTTTTTGATACATTCATTATTTAAATCTACAACTACAAATATTATTATATATGTAACATGTAGATTATAGCTGTACCATTTATATTCTACATCTCCTCCGCTAGAGGGCTTTCGCGTTCATAACGAGGCAGAGTGTGCGAGCGAGAAAGAGAATGAGTAGCGGATCTTTGGTCGGAGGTGGCGGGGGGAAGCAACTGAAAATTAATTTTTTCATTCTGGCTATAATTATAATCCGATCTGATTTAGATTCGGCAATCTGGTAGATATGGTCATTCTCTACGATAATGCGTTTTTAGTTTTATCGTATCTTTAAAATTGTGCCTGCCACAGATGTTCGTCCTTTGTGTGAGCGGAAGGGGGCGGGGTGCACACTTGTAGCAGTGTGATATCACATGAGTCTGGAAACCAAATTTGGTTTCTCCAGCTCTTATAGTCTCTGAGATCCAGGCGCTCATCAAGACGGACGGACGGACAGACGGACAGACGGACAGACAGACATGGCTATATCGACTCGGCAATTGATGCTGATCAAGAATATATATATTTTATGGGGTCAGAAACGTTTCCTTCTCTGCGTTGCACACATCCACTTTTACCACAAATACAATATACCCCTTAACTCTTTTTTGAGTACGGGTATAATGATTGATTATTGTGCTTCTGGGTGCTTAGTTTATTGTTGTTGTTGTTGTTCATAACGTACTCACTAGTACTCATTTTTGGAGTGCAGTATTTATTTTTGCGATCATCTGCACTGTAACAGCCCCAATAAAGTATCCTAGCATGATCTTCGGACCGTGGCCTCGATCTGTCTCTGCTTCGACTGCCATCCAGCACAATCTCCTTCGCTCCATTGACCCGTCGATAAATGTTACCCTGGATTTTTGGTTCCACCTGAAGTGGTATCATGCGTACATAACACTGGAATGCAGTTCAGTTCAGTTCAGTTCATCCGCTGTGACTTGGGTATTTTGTTTTACGTAAATACTACTTACCCTTGCCACACAATTGACGCCATTGATAATTGCATTGGCGCGCAAAAGAAATAGAAAACGTCCCGTACCACCCACATTATATCTGAACCTGACCGTATACGGTTGTATCTTGAGCACCAGACCCCTGCTGACACCCGCATGACCAATTAGTTCTAGGTGTTGGGCATGAAAATAAATATATAAAAAAAAAAAATATATATATATATATATAATTACTTCTCTCGCTCATATCGTAAAAATTCCAATCCACATGATCGTATTCAAAGCGCTTGCAATCGTCACCCAGCTCGGCAAAGAACTGCAAGTGACTGCGTGGTGAAACATCGACTGGAAAATTGGGATCCTGGCAGAAGGGCAGACTCAGCAGCGGATCACAGCTCATCGATTTGGGCATCAATATGGTAAGGTCACGCCTGGCCTTGCGTGCCAACAATTTGCTGCGATCCTTCAGCGACGATATCTGAATGTACACGAAACGCGCACGCGAATTGAAGTAGCTGGCATGCGTGCGATAGAAGTAGCAATTTTTGTACGGCAATCGGCCCACTCGAATGTCATACTTTTGCAATATGCTTGGCAATTTGGTGGTGTATTTCCAGGGATTTGGCTTGCCTTTGGGCACAGTGATCACCTCATCTATCAGATAGTCATCCGTATTGACAGTCAAGTTCAATACAAATGTCTCAGTGCCCAGTGTGGGCAACGTGACGATTATGTCATAGACTTTGCCATACAACGGACGACGATTGTATTCTATGTGAGGCTTTAGGGGATACCTTTTCCTTTCTTCTCCCTTATCTTTGCCATTATCTTTTCCTTTGTCTTTGTCTTTGCCTTTATCTTTTCCTTTATCCTTGCTTTTATCTTTGCCCTTATCTTTTCCTTTATCTTTGCCTTTATCTTTTCCTTTATCAGTTCCTTCATCTGTTCCGTTACCTTTTCCTTTATCTTTTCCTTCATCTTTTCCCTCAACTTTTCCCTTATCTTTTCCTTTGTCTGTTCCCTTATCTTTTCCTTTATCTGTTCCTTCATCGGTTCCTTCTTCCCTTTTCCCCCTACTGGATGATGCATTTAGGTTTTCCCGATAGTCCAGGCTTTCATTGTAGGCAGGATCCCAAAGTCTTTTGATGCGTTGATCCTCATTGTAGAATGTATATTTTTGTACTTCGTTTTCCCAATTCAAAAACTTGCGATATTTTTCGTGCATTCGCTGGAATGGATTCATCGTCTCACTATCCAACATATGCATGGAGTTTTGTGTCGATTCTGGTTCAATGTTTTCCTCCTCTACGTTCCATATCGTTCCATACCTATAGGGTTCCATATGGTTCCACTGGCTTTCCTCATTTTGGTCACTCCTACAATGATCCGTGTGCCACATTATCGATATCGATGTCATCATGAGGAACATGAACATTTGCATAATACAAACTTCTTTCAAAATATATCAATATTTTGTGCTCCATATTTGTGTAAACATTTGTTTTTCATATATATATTTTTTGTTTGTTGACTCATTTGACGCGTAGGGCAAGGGCATTGGGGAAGCGGTGCTCAGGTGTGACAGGGGCAAAAATCTCATCCTTTCTTTGGTTAATTGCAGCAGCCAAAACTGTGCGGTTGACAGGCAACACATGACATTTAACCGCAGAATATTTTCGTTTTTCTTGTTGAATTTTCTCGTTATTTTTTGTATTTTTTTTTCTTTTTGTGTTTGTTCTGTCTGTCTGCCTACATAATTGTTGTAAATTAATTGCAAATTGTGTATGCAAAAAGCATAAAAGTGCACTTCAAATACGAGTGCAAAAAGGGAACAAAAGCCCGGCACAGCTGGTAATTTATTGACCACAGAACAACATCCAGCAGGACAGATAACCAACAGCCACAATCATCAACGGGAGTGCGATACAGTACAAGTACAAGGCTTAAGCAGAGCTGCAAGCTCCCAACTACCATTTCCATTTCCATTTACAAAATCCATATAAATCAAATGAAATTAACTCAAAGAGAGCACAACAGCGCACGGCGCACAGGGAGGGAGCAAAGGCAGGCAAATTGAGTGTTGAATTTTTATAAACCACCAAAAGACAACGACAGCATTCGACAATAGACAATCATACTTTATTTACTATAAACTTTACACATGGCATGGCATCGCATGGCATGGCATAGTTCTTTCTCTTTCTGCTCTGCATTTCTATGGATGGGTGATAGGGGAGGCGACAATTTCTTAAATTGTTCGAACAAATGAGAATGGAATGGCTGTACGAGGAGTAAGAGCAGGCCAAAGGCGACAAACCATTTACAGGCCAGAGCGCACGTCGCATAAAAAACAGAGAGGAATGAGTAGAAAAAAAAAAAAAAAGCAAAAGCAAAATAAAGATGTGTGTGTTTGTCTTTTCGACTGTTCAGGGAATACTCTTTCCGGGCAATGGGTGGGTCTACCTAGCATTAATAGTGTGCGAAATAGTGTCCAAGTGTTCAGATAGCCTAAATCTACCTTATTTTTGTTAATTCTGATTATGATACTGCTTCGATCGTAACCAAATTCAGCAATCTGGTAGATATTTTGCTTCTCTATGTTGCTGCATTTTTCAAATTTTGGTTTCGCAATTTTATGTTATAAAAATAAATAAAATTAATTATTTATTTGGAATTTATTTTATTAATTATTTAGTTATAATTTATTTTATAAATTATTTTTTTATAATTTATTTTATTAATTATTGTTTATTTATTTTTTGTATTATTTATAATTTATTTTATTAATTATTTATTTAAAATTTATTTTAATAATTATTTATTTATAATTTATTTTATTAATTATTTATTTATAATTTATTTCATTAATTATTTATTTAGATTATAATTTATTTATATTATTATATTTAATTATAACTTATTTTATTATATTATTTATTTTATTTATTTATTATTTATTTATAATTCATTTTATTACGAATTAAAATTCGTCAGAAAAAAATCTTAAAATATAAAATAATTTTCTTAAATACTTAACTAATCCCCCAAAACGCTCGATCTATTAAATATACCCCTTTAAATAAAGTGTAAAAAAAAACTTTAACAGTAAAGCAAAAAAAAACAAGAGCAAAAAAATACACAAAAGAATGAAGCATTTTACGATTTAGCATGTGTGGAGGGGGGTGACTGGGGGGGAACCTGATGAACGGTCTGTCCGGATGGGGAGCCGAGAGCAGAGGACCACCAAGTTCAGCACTTTGGCCGCGCGTCAAGTGCTTTTCATTTTCCGAGCACGTCGTCGCGTCATAAAACAAAAACGCATGAAGCGCAACGGCCAACCAACCGCTTGGGAAGGGACGTACACACACACACACACACGTTGGTGGTTAATGGTGGTGGTGGTGGTGGTGGGGGGCACGTTTAGCATATATATTTTCACACTTGCAATCATACTTTAAGCAAAAGCAAAAACCCACATACGAACATCACTCTAGAGATGGCTAAAAAGTGCCCCATGGTTAAGTCAAAACTCTAGGTATAGTTTTCTTTGTACCATCTCTAAGGCAGAGCAGAGCATCTTACACTTAAGACATAGATAACAATGTGGGTGGGGTGCTGACGCTGGCGAGACTTTTCACATAAAAGTGCGTCAGTATTGTCACCCAAAAACTTTTGCTTTCTTTATTCCTTACTTTTTGTTCTCTATATATTTTTATTTTTATTTTGTGGTCTGCCTCTTTGTGGTCTGCCTGTGATGATAATAATTTGAAGTGGAATTCGGCGGCGGCGTGCTTTTACTTTGTGCCATCTTTTTTTTTGTGTCTGCACAGTCTGTCTACGGTTTTTGGTTTTGGCTTTAATTAAAATGTCATAGACCCCACACCCCACCCCGCGCCAAGTACAAGGCACATAATTACCAGAAAAATGACAGAGTTTTACATATATATATTTTTGGAATGTCATAGAACCCCACCCCGCGCCAAGTACAAGGCTCATAATTACCAGAAAAATGACAGTCTTTACGTATATATATTTTTGGGAGCAATGTACGAGTATATTTGGCTATATAAATGAATATTAATGCGCTGGCTGATTTAATAGATGTCAGTGTCTCAGTCTGACATTTTATTAACTGAATCGACTTAACACATTTTCGTTTTGTGTGTGTTTTGAGAAGGGTTGAGATGACTGACATTAAAAGGATTTGGCGAGAGCGCGCGGGCGTGGCATGTGCCATGGTGCCATAATTTCTCACTGACACTAATGACAGATGAGATAGAATTCTGCTGTACATTGAATATTCCAAAATGCGAAATGGGAAATAGTTCCCGACACACAACAGCAGCAGCAGCATCTTTAACCTTATCAAAGTTTATAAGTTCAAAGCACTCTAATGCCGTGATGAATGCGCCATCATCATCGTCATCATTATTATTATTATTATCATTGAATGCTTAATGGATCTGAAAAGCAGCGTGAAATCCTTTCCATTTTTCCCCCACCCAATTTTCCATTTCATTCATTACTTGATGGCGGGCTCTGTGGGGGCACGGGGATAACTCTTTGTACGCTCCTCCAACTTTCAGTTGTGGGGGGGGAGGGCAAAGTGACTGCTCTTGGATTCTGGCTGGCTATGGTTTTGGCTTCCGAGGTGACGTCTGTTTTGGCCATGTTGGCAACTTTGCGTGCGGTTTGTCTTTGCTGCAAAGTTCCGCCGCCGCCCCACACACCCCATGCACCCTTTAATGATCCATGCCACAAATGAATTGCAGTCCAGTTGCAAGTCCAATTGCTGCACTTGATTTGCGGTGCCACTTAATGGTTAACAATTATCTCTCTGCTGACATTTGAGTGTGGTTCCCCAGAGAGGCAACGAACGACAACGACAACGACCACCATCCATGTGCTGGCCTCTCCCTGGAGACTGCAGCTTACACTAAGTGTGTGTGGGTGTGTCCAAAATACATGCTACATATTAAACAAATTATTTGATTAAGGAACTTTAAGTATGTGGTTGTTTAAGGGAGCAAACTCTATACCTGAAAACAATACAGAGGTTGGTTTGGATAGATTTTCTTCTCATTCAATTTGGCAGCAGTCCAACACAAAACACAAAAACTCCCCTTAAGTGAAACTCTAATTAATCATGCACACGACATGCATTTTGTTTTTTTTGCAGCATTCTCTCGCATTCTCTTTTGGCGCATTCGCTTGTGCATACCGAGTCGAGCGCTCATTTTTCTTTTCTTTTTTTTTCCACCTTTTTTTTACGCGCAATTTAAACACTCTTTTTCGCTCTCCATCGATTCATATGCTTCAGCAAAACTAAGTTGATTCGCAGCCACTACTCGTATAAGTGATTGATAGGGAATCCTTTTAGATTTATCAATGACTATAGCCTCTCCGCCCCGGCTAACCCGCAACTAAACCGCCAAAATGTGTCAGCGGCAATTACGGGTGGGCCATCCGACACCAGCCCAGGCCCAGTCACCTACCGGCATGGCCACGCCCACGACGTCATCTACACCGCCTCCGGCACACAATATCAATTATCGGGCTTCAAGTGTCGCTCAAGTGTCACGTCAAACACCAACACAAAATACGAACAAAGAGCATCGGCAGCAGTAGCATCCAGCATCCAGCAGCAGCACACACACACACATGACAATCCAGTTTCCGTTTGGTTGAAAAAGGGGTTGCCTGCATTACCACCACCCCCCCATTCTCCATTCAGATGATCTTCCTATATCTTTCTCCTATGCTTTTGACTTTGATTGATTACAAAAGCAATTGAGCGGAGCCCCACCACTCTCTATGTACAGCGAAAAAAAAGTAAAGAATAAAATAGAAGAAAAATTAACATAAATAAAAACGAAAATGGAACGAATTTTCATTGACAGCAAATGGGTGAGAATGGAAAATGGAAAATGGTAGCGCAATTAGCTAGCCAACTCTTCCCCTCAATGGGTTAATGAGCAATGGCATGGCCCTACCCTGTAATTTTCGTGGGCAAATCGCTTGCGGGCGAGTCTCTCGCTCTCTCTCACTCTCAGATTTTTGCTGCTCAGAGCCTGCTGCTCCATTAATTAGCACAAAGGCAAAGAGGATTGGATTGGATTGGCCGCGAAAGGTTAATGAAAATAAAATTTCAATTACTTTTAATTGAGAAATTAATCAGCAAAAGGTCCGACAGGCGTTGATTGATTGGCAGGCTGCGCTCTCTCTAGCTGCTTGTTCTGGGCCAAAAATATATATTTTGTGGATATACCTAATTATTGGGGTTTTAATTCAATTATGGGGAACTTTAAGTGCCAGTCGGAGAGCCAGTCTAAAGTGTTGCCCCGGTTCTCAAATAAAAACCAATGTTAAGGCACTCGGAAGACTGTGGGCTCGGGGCATTAGCATCGTGGATACTCGTACGTGTAAAATGGTCATTTAATGTGTGTGTGCTGCTGCTTCTGCTGCAGTTGCTGCTGCTGTTTGCCTTTTGCTTTACTTTTAATTACCAACTGGAATTACACGGCCAAAACGGCAAAACGGACAAAGGCGGAACAGCTGTTTGGCTTGTACTCTGGCCAAATGGACACAGAAGGATGCCGAAGCAGCATCAGAAGCAGCATCAGAAGCATCTTCCCAGAAGAGGCAACCACAAAACTCTCACTGCACTCAGCCAGAACCCATAGCCATCGTTTGCTGCACATTTCATTACAATGCCATTGTATTCAAATCCTATTATAAAGCGTACAACATGCTGCAGCAGTGTGGCACCGAGAGTGAGTGTGTGGGTGGGTGGCACAAGAACTTCATGTTTGCAGCACGTTTCCACTTTCGCACTTGGTAAACATAAGTTGCCCCACACACACACCCACACCCCACACAGGAGGAGGAGATGTAGGAGGAGCTGTAGCTAACGTTCTCGTCTGCAACACTCCATAAAATAATTACCAACACCAATGCAGAAAACGGGAAGCAGCAGCGGCGGTGTAGCCTCTGGTCTTACCATATCTACGAATAGTTGGCCAGAAACGATGGCCGGAAAGGGACAACCAGGGGAGGTGCAGCAAACCGGAAGACGGGCATTACAATTGCCGCGCAACGAGAGCGTCAGGGAAGGGGGAAATTGAATAGAACAAGAGCCATAGACAGGAAGACAGAGGGACCGAGTGGCAGAGAGAGAGAGACAGAGAGTTGGAAACGGGAATAACGGGAAATGTGAGCATACGAAAGGGTTTAACCCATTGGTGGCAAGGGAAATATTTAATGGAAATTCATAAACACATTTTCAAACTGCACTTTTGAGCTTTTTGCTCAGATATTTGATTCATCTGAGAGATTTTAATTCCCTTTTTCTCTTTCTATCTTCAGGTCTTAATGGGTTAAGGACTCATTTAACACGGCAAACATACGGTTTAATTGCTATAAAAATATATATTAAAAATGTTGAACTTTCTCTTTTCCAATGAAGTTAAGCCAAGAAATGAATGATGTTTGAAGAAAAAGCTAGAAATAAATTTGTTAATTTATAATTAGAGTTGCCTTAGAGGTATATGTAACTCTATGTATTTAAGTAATTAAATTTGATGTGGAAATTCAGACATATTTTATGTGCAGAGCGTAGAATTTTTTTTTATTTAAAAGTCTCACTGTAATAGAGCAAGCGGTATAAATAGAAATAAAGTGAGAGGCTCCTTGAGTAAATGCCAGCAATCAGCTAATTTTGAACTGCTAGGCTGCTCTGTGAGAGAGTAATTTTAACTGCTGTGTGAGAGAGTAATTTTAACTGCTAAGCTGCTGTGTGGGAGAGTACTTTTAACTGCTGTGTGAGAGAGTAATTTTAACTGCTAGGCTGCTGTGTGAGAGAGTTTTTAATGCTGTGGTGAGAGAGTAATTGTAACTGCTAAGCTTCTGTGTGAGAGAGTAATTTTGAACTGCTAAGCTGCTGTGTGAGAGAGTAATTTTAACTGCTAAGCTGCTGTGTGAGAGAGTAATTTTAGCTGCTAAGCTGCTGTGTGAGAGAGTAATTTTAGCTGCTAAGCTGCTGTTTGAGAGAGTAATTTTAACTGTTCAGCTGCTGTGTGAGAGAATAATTTTAGCTGCTAAGCTGCTGTGTAGGAGAATAATTTTCCCTTGATTTTTTCACATATAAAATCAAATGAAAAAATTCCCATAACCGAGTAGCCTTACATTGGATGTCAGTCGCTCGTTGCCGTTTTAATAGAAATTCAAAACCGTTCTGCCTAGTATTTCGACAAATATTTAATGCTTTCGCATACAGCAAAGTAAATATAAAATATATACCAACTGGATATCTGGTGACTGCTGCACAAACGATAGACATAGACACAATGCCACAGGGCGATGTGGCCACAATGGGGCATCGACATGTCATGTGCGATGGATGCCAGCGACACGAGTTCCCCGGCCGCAGATATCGCTGCCTGCGTTGCTCCAACTACGATCTGTGCGGCGAGTGCTACGATCAATGCGTCCAAACCGAACACCATCTGATGGAACATCCCATGCAGCTGATCCTGTTGCAGCCGCAACCAGTGCCAGAGCTACTGAGCGCCGGCGGTGCTGTCGAACAATTGCATTTGTGCAACTGCTACACCTGTCCGTACTGCAAGGTGATGGGCCACACGGCCAAGGGCCTCATCAATCATGTGTACGGGCTGCATAGCGAGGACGATAGCTATGTGGTGTGTCCCATGTGTGCCTGCCTGCCGGGCGCCTCCCTGATGACAATGCAGAATCTATCACGTCATCTACTGACCAGTCACATTGACTATGCAAATTTCCTGGAGCCGCACACGCCACAGCTGCAAAGGCTGCCGCAAGAAGCTATCCCAGACTCGCGACACCGCCGGTCTCGCGGTCATCTGCATCATCACTACCAGCAACAGAATGCTGCTGCCTACGCCCAAATGGTTAACACCGGACAATTCGCTACGGACACACTGCCCGATCTGTCCAATGTGCAGATAAGCCACGACCTTATGAATAATCTACGCAGTCTTTATACCGATGACGAGATTGACAGCATGATGATGGGTCATGATAACACATTGACTTTGAACGCAACTGGAAGGGCCAGTTCGACACCCAACACGCCGCCCATCACTCTGGTGGATCGACAGCCAGAGAAACGCAGAGAGAAGAAAGAACGCCGCACCAAAACAGATCGTTTTCTACTATCAAAATGGATGGCTGCCGAACAAAAGCAATGGAAGATGTCTGCAGAGGCTAGAAAGGTGCGGCATAGACAGGCAATCTTCACCGAACAAATACTCCTCTCGATGATGTGCGCGGAGCAATTGGAGCTGCCGGAGAGTGACCCAATCGCAGATACACTGGACTTGAAGCCGTTCGAAAGAGAGTCAATCGAAACCGTCGCACCCAATCGATCCAAGGCAGGGCAGCCACTGGAAACTGGAAAGAATACACAGCCAATGGAAAATCTACAGACCCTGGAAAGTGACACAGCTCTACAGCCACTGGAAAATGGCACAGCTCTACAGACCCTGAAAACTGGAACGGTTTCAGAACCCAAGATATCCAAGATAATGTCATTGATGGCCCTGCCCTGGACTCAGGCCTGGTCTGCCTCTCAGACTGATAACGGTAATGGCACGGCCATAAAGCAGTTCATTCAACTGATGGGCGCCACCACTGACGAAACCCAAGTGGATGAGATGAAGAATGTGGAGGCTGTGGATTGAGTGCCCCCTCACCTACAGATAGTTTGACTTTTGCTGTTGCTTTTTGTTTTAGATTTCTGAGTTCCCCTTTGCACAAAATATTGGAAATTTATTGTAAAATTTAAGTTAATATTTTTTTTCGGTCTATATAAAGTATTTGGATGATTTTTGTAATTGTAAGAAACATGGACTCTTGCTCAGAATAAAAACCAACAAGACAAATTTTCTTCAAAACAAAAAAATTTACTGATTCTATACTTTATCTTAAGTTTTTAAATTTTTGAATTAAAAAATTTAAACGTGTTCAAATACAAATAAAATAAATTTTTTTAAATAAATAAATAAAAAAAAAATTTTTAGTTTTTATAATATTTAAAATTTAAACAAGTATAAATACAAATTGTATTTTTTTTTTATTCTGTAAATTGTTAATAAAAGTTTTTGTATTCTTTTTTTAGTTTTTTATTTGTAGTTGCTGTTTATTTTTTTTTAAATACATATTTGTGTACCTTTTTGTTTTTATTATTATTTATTTATTGTTAATTTAGTTTTTAGTGTTAAAGATTCTTTTTTATGTTTAGTCTCTATTTATTACTTTAAAATTTTAATTTAAAAAATATTTTAAATATAATTAAAGTCTAAGGTCCCCCTTTTTTAAATCAATGCTAACAAGAACTGCAGGCTAAGCCGATAAAGATTTATATTTTAGCAATTGGATTTTTTCCACTAATTTAAATCATTTGAATTCGTACAGAACTTATACCGTAATACAGATTAAGTCTCTGTCTTGTTTTTTAATACCCGAACTGGTCTAATGAATTTGAAGTTAATTTAACCTAAGAGCAGTCCTCGAACAGTTCTGTGGTTGCTCAGAGCTTAAGCAGATTGATGAAGCGTCGTGTCCGTTTGCTAGCTGCAATTTCAACCATTTTGATTGGCTAAATCCACGGTCATAATGTTTGTGGGGAAAACTGTATAAGCTGCTCCCCCGGTCCCCTCGAATAATTTCCCACAGCAGCTGATGCGTTTGCATAAATCTTCTGATGGCAATGCCAAGTGGCGGATGCTGAGGCTGAGGCTGAGGCAAGAACGCGACTGCGAACTAATTAAAACCATTGCCACTTAAAACGTTGGAAGATGCGCTGCTCGACAGAGCTTTGTTGCGGAGTCGGATTTTCCGGCAGCCAGCAGCGAAAGCTTACCGTTTTTAATGTTTTGCAATTTGTTGTTTTCTTGTCCATTGCCCGCTGTCCGCTGGCCCGCTCCCCTTCCCTGTCTTGTTTTGCTTTGAAGCATTAGATGAATGCATAAAATATTGAAATAAATGGATTTCGCGTACTTGTTGGAAATGAAAATGGAATGAAAATGGCGTATAGCTCATTTAAGTATTAAGTATTGTCTTAATTGCAGATGAATCCTATTTGTACGCCACTTGAGGTGTTTCCCCATCTATGTGGATCTCTTCTGTTTGGATTTTCTTCCATTCTTTCCTTCAATCTTCTGGCAGCAACAACTAACTAATTCCAAATAATCGCCCATAGCCATGAAATAATTAAAATATGTTTTACCCAACGTCAAAGCCGTATCAAAAAAGAGAAAACTAGTGCAAAAAAAATATGTAAGAGATGCTTGGGGCAAAGATTTAATTAAAAAAAAAACAAAACAAAAATTTTGGATGCTATACAAAGGTTTAATAAAATGTAAGAAATGAAAGGAGAAGGGGTTATGGAAATTGTAGTGAAAAATGCTTGAAAATATAAAGTCTGTCCTGACTACAAGATAGTGGGATTTTAAAAGCGTGGAAGTGCGTCCATAGACGTTGATTTAATTTGTAGAAAGCCATCGATTGTCTCATGCCCAGAATAGACTACACAGAAAAGGCCAAAATAAATAATTAAAAAATTCTAAAATAAAATAGAAATAAAAAAGAGGCAACCAGAAAATTCCCCGAAATAAACCATAAAACGAAATTCACATTAAGTACCTTGAACCTTAGATAATAAATAAACAAATAATAATAAATAATATAATGATCTGGTGATATCTGTTCCATTCTCTGATCTCGTGTATTTTGTCTTAATTTTCTTGCATTATTGAACGATCAACCGAAGTCAAATTATTGCTGAGTGAGAACTTAAGAGAAGAAGATTTTCTGTAGAGTAAATGATACTTTTTCCTTTCCTTCCTCCTCCATCGGGCGACTCCCATGAAGTCGTGCAACTATGTAAGTGGTCGTGAAAGATAACGACTTTGAAATCGCGGATATATAAAACATAAAAATCTACCAATTTAAGTAAAATAAAAGTAAAACAGCGATAAACGCATGTACATAGTTATTAATATCAAAGAGAGCATTGAACTTTTATTTTTATTTAATTTTTAATTTTATTATTATGTTAATTTCAATGCAATCTTCAGTAAAGAATATAATGCGCACAGACCTGGCTTATCAGTCCAACAATACCCGTATACCTATATCTATAGGCAATGCCACTCAGACCATCGCTATAAAGCAATGATTCCTCCCTGGGAAAAGATCAGTTTACTACGGATCGCAAGTCGAGAGACTGTTAAATCAGAGCCATGGGCCATTTGATACGCTGGAGGTAACATCAGTGAATAAATAAACCTCGGACTACTCGTATACCGTCTGTCGTTACAGCTGCCTGCTGATCGTGCTGGTCTGTTACGGCACTCGAGGGGATGAGGAGGACACATACGGCACCACTGGTCGCCATTTGCTGGCAATCTACACAAATCCGGACGTTAATCGCGCCACAAAGGAACGAAATCTACGTGAGATGGCACAGTTCTATGATGCCTACCAAGATCAAATCGGCTTAAACTCCGAGGAACGACTACGCGCTGAGGAGCTACGCAAGCGATACACTGAGGCCATCAAAACGGGCGTCTTGGCGGAGGGTGAAGCCACGCGAGAGGGTACCATTGGACCCATTGTGGCCAAGTATATAGTGGAGGGTGTTGTGGAACTGGCGCGAGTCGTTCAAACCCATCGAAGTTCCTCCTCTGCAAAGGGCATTTACGTAAATCGTGGCATCACCATTTTTGGATTTGTTTTTTGTCTTCTTTTCAGCGTTTTATTCAGATGAAAAGTATTTATAGATTTTTATATTTTTAAATTTTTTTTTATATTAAATAAATCTAAAATTCAAATAATAATAAATACCTAAAGAGAGCAATGAACAGCAATCACAAAACACCAACAAAAAGCAGATTATGGCGTTTTATTCAGATGAAAGCGTTTTATTCAGATGAAAAGTATTTATAGATTTTTATATTTAAAAAAATTTTTTTTTTATAGTAAATAAATTTAAAATTCAAATAATAATAAATACCTAAGGAGAGCAATCACAGAACACCAACAAAAAGCAGATTATGGAAAATACACAAGAAATGTAATGTAAATAGAACATAAAAAAAGAAAGTAAATTGCTGATAAGAAAACGAAGATCAAGTCGATCGCCCCCCCCTTGGGTAACGAGATCATTTGCTCGATCGACACACACAATTGCAAAACTCATGCTCGAACATGCTCGTTCCAGAACTTCTTCGAGCTCGAACGAAAATATTACTGCTAATAATTAATTCTTTTACACATTTAACCACTTGATAAATAAAAACTCTTAGTAAAAAACAAATCGTATAATGCAACTAAAAAATTAAACTAAAACTAATTAGATTAAACTAAAATTCCACACCACACATAGAAGTATTCTTTGGATATCCAATTCGAACAGATCATAGCGACATAGCGGCAGAATCTAAAGCAAGTTCTCACATGAAGAGAGAGAGCATCTTTTGGGGTTTTATTTTGTCGAAAACTTTATGCACACACTGTTACTCTGAATTGCAGACACTGCCAAAAAAAATGCTATACAAATCACAAAAATTATGGAGGCCCCAGAGCACAAAATTACCAAAAATTATGCTATAAAAATCACAAAAAAAAAATAAGCCATTCATAAATACATTTATATAATTATTATAATAATACTTGTACTCATACTCATACATATGTATAGTATGAACGTTTTTTTATTTTATTAGAATTGATAAAGAGAATTTAGAATTTTATTTTATAAGTATAAAAATATGAAAATAAAAATATAAAATATAAAAATATGAAAATTAAAATTTTTAATTGAAAAAGATGCCAGAATACCTACATACTTATATTTATATGAATGTATGTATATAGGTACATTGTTCTTATCATATTTCAGATTTTATTATTTTGTTTTTAATTGAAAATGAACAACCGAAATGACAGGTCACCCCAAGGGTCCAATCTTTGTCATTAAAAAAAGTCATTTCATCACGGCAAAATAATCTAAACCGAAACGAATCAGCCTTTGGGGTCGTCTTCGTATAGCAGTGATAGCAAATGAATAGGCATTAAATCTGTTCGTATAATATGCAAAACACATTTTGTTTTTTTTTTTTTAATTTTTGTTGTTTTTGTTTTTTAAATTATTTTGTTATGTTCGAACGCTTGCTATATAAGCCTCGTCGCCGTCCGATCAATCAGTTAGAACTTGATCGAAAGTCCAAGCAAACAAATCACCAAGCACCATGAAATTCTTCGTAAGTGCCTGCCTCAAGCTAAATTTCGTGACAGATTTTTGAGGAGTTTGTGTGTGCCATTGTTAAAGGATCTTCTTTTTGTCTACGTTTAGATTGTTTTCTTCGCCTTGATCGTGGCTGTCTTCGCCGCCGGATACGGCCAGCAGGGTGGACATGGCCAGCAGGGAGGACGTGGCCAGCAAGGATTCGGCCAGCAGGGAGGACATGGCCAGCAGGGTGGACGTGGCCAGGAAGGATTCGGCCAGCAGGGTGGACATGGCCAGCAAGGATTCGGCCAGGGTGGACATGGCCAGCAAGGATTCGGCCAGCAGGGTGGTCAGGGACATGGCGATTCTGGATTCAGCCAGGGCGGACATGGCCAGGGACACAACCAGGGCGGACATGGCGGACGCTACTAAACATTGATTATTGATTAATAAAATACAACAAAAAACCACACTAAGAAATACAATAATTCAAATTATTACGGGTGCTAAGCGAGAGAGAGAAGAGAGACCTCGATTCGAACACCACACGAATCGAGCCCGAAGCAAGCCCGAACATGTTTGCTGCTCGTCTGATCTTCGTGAGCGCAACTCGAACGTGCTGCTGCTCGAGCAGGTTCGAACAGGTTCGAACAGGTGTTCACACTCAATGCAGTTTTCTGAGGGTCAAAACGTTCCCCTACTATGTACTGGCAATTTCCTGCTTGACAATTATGCAGAATACTTGCAGCTATAAAATCGTCCCGCAGGCCCCTTCATCAATCAGTGATTCATCGTATATATACGATGAATATATATGTATATATTTTTTTATGTTTATTTTTTATGGACACTACAAAAAATGCACCAAGTAATGTTCAAAGAAATCAGTCTGATTGGAGGTCTCTGTTAGAGACCTTTGTCAAATTATGCCAACACATGTATCCAATGCCAAAGAAAACCTAAGCTCCGTCTGAACTAGCCATAAGACAAGCAATAATTAGATAATACAAAACAGGAATTTGATAAGCAACAAACCATTGAGAGAGAGAGAGAGAAACTAAGACATGAATGTTAATAAGGGAGCATAATTGCACATACAAATTTTACCTTGTTTTTACGATGCCAGAAATTAGGGACCAAACATTTTTATCAACATTGAACAACATTTGGAATTTATTTAAATACAAAAATTTGGATAATAAGTTTTAAAAGTAGAAGATGAATTTATTGCACATTACAATACGTTTTGTTTCAATGCGATTGAGTCAAATAAAGACTGAATAAATAAATAAAATAAAAAAAAAATATAAAAAACTAAATAAAAAAAATTAAATTAAAATAAAATAAATAAAGACTCTAAAATATCCTTCTCCATTATTCCAGGGTCTACGATCAGTGAGATCAAACAATATTGTATTGTTGATACGTCCCTTGAGGACTCTGTGGTGGGTTGTAGACTGGTCTTGAGTAGCATAATCTGGTGTCTTTTTTTCTGCCTACCACCGAAATGGAAGCAGCGAAAACCAAAACAATAATTACAATTATCCGGCAAGAAATATCATCTATAGAAAATGCAGAGATGATGTCTTGGATTCACTTGCCAATTTCTCGAGATTATTCAGAGAAGAATTGATAACAGCAGATCAGCATTAAATGTGAGTTCAGTGAATTTTGTTTTCTGTGAATCTCAGATCAATTGTTTTTCTGTGGACACCAATCTAAGCAAGGCTCAAAGGTTAATCTTAAGATCATCATTGGGTATATATTGAGGCGTATAAATAGGGAAGCATTTAGCACCTCCATCGACAGACTTGCATCGACAGACTCGAAATGAAATTATTGGTGAGTACAGAGAACAAATCGCAGAACAAACCTAAAGTATTAAGAAAATATTTTCTTCAGCAGGTATTATTCGTATGCTGTTTGGCGACCACTGGCTCTTGCGGCACCAAACTTTTTTGGAAAAAAACCACACTGGTACGGTTATTATTTAGAACATAGCCATGAACAGTATTCGAGCGAAGAAAATTTACTAGAAGAATGAAAGAAAAATGGTTCGATGGTTAAGGATTAATATAAAATGTTATTAAAAATCAAATAACAATGCGCCAACGATTAATATATAAATAATCCTGAACTGCCAAGTCACTCATTCTTTATTCTATAAAAAATTTGAATGGATTTATTGCAAGTGAGAGGCGTCATAGCCAGTCGGTATGGCTTCTTTGATGTCCAATTTAATTATTTTGTTTATTTTTTGTTTGTCAACTTGTACGCGTATGTAGGGAAAAACCCAAAGAAGGGATCAAAATTTGGTGATCTTTGGTGTCTGTGTCTGCCTCGTATTATCAACATTTTAATGGGTATTCGAGGGAATTTCGGGGCATTTGCTTTCGATTGTACGAACATTACAATACACTCTACAATATAATGATTAAAAAAATTAATTTCCGATTAATGGGTATTTTTCAGTCGACACACTCAAACAGCTGTGCTCCGGTATAAAGTTTGAATTCGTTGCAAAAGCGATTTCATTCGCGAAATATCATCCAAAATGAAACCATTGGTAAGTCGAGAGCTGTGGATACGTTTTTAGCGGGGGTTTGGACAGAGAATAATTTGGAAATTTCTCAATTTAAATGTAGATTTTAATATTCGCTTTGATGGGCGTTGCTCTGGCCATGCCCCATAGATCCGGCGCAGGCTACGATGGCGGCTATGGACAGGGTAATGGCAGCTATGGTGCACAAGGCGGCTATGGATCTGGTCCTGTACAAAGCGGATACGGCGGAAAAGGATCATTTGGGCCTGGTGCTGGCCATGGTGGATTTGGCGAGCATGGAGGCTTTGGCAATAATTCAAGACGCCATGGTGGACATACCGGATATGGATCTGGTACTGGACATCATGGACAAGCGGGAGGCTTTGGTGGACAAGGAGGAGGCTACGGTGGGCAAGTAGGAGGCTTTGGTGGACAAGGAGGAGGCTTTGGTGGACAAGCGGGAGGCTTTGGTGGACAAGCGGGAGGCTTTGGTGGACAAGGAGGAGGCTTTGGTGGACAAGCAGGAGGCTTTGGTGGACAAGCAGGAGGCATTGGGGCACATACAGGCTATGGAAACGGATCACAAGGCGGCTTTGGTGGGCATGGCGGGCATAGCCATAATCACCATCATAGATACTAGATTGAACCAGGATTAATCCACATTTTTATATGTTCCTTACTGAATACCAAACATTTGCCATTTCAAACAAAACTATTTTAAATCAATTAATATATATAAAATTAAATATATAAAATATTAATATAATCCAAAAATGTTTCTCACTGCGATTTGCACTACGACACATCATTCCGGGGCTATGAATTGTTTTTTGTTAATTGTTTCTTTTTCATGCTTCCTATTTATTTTTAAAATCAGCAGCCATAAGTGCCTTACATTTGACAGGAATAATACTAAGAGGCAAAAGCCAAAGGCCAACCCAAATAATAGCTTTCATATTTATACAGAAATTCATTTAAAATATTTTATTACCGCACAAATGGTCTAGGAGCTGAGTTTATTGCTGTGCCATTCAGAGAATTGAAGATTGTTAACGATTTTTCGGATTATAAATAAAGTAAGTTCGCTGCAGATTTCATCAAAAATCATTCGAAGCGTTAAACGAAATAAAAGTCTTGGTGACTCCAGCAGAGGGAATGGACTGCACTCGTATACCCGTAATATATGTATCGTAATTATTATTTTCGCTCTGTCTAGGTACCAGGAAACTATAATTAGTTTTCATGGCTGGCTTTCAATCAAATGATGATCGCGATGTTATTGAATTCAGTCCCGAATAATTTGCATGCACTTCAAAAATTGCTGCAGGTTTTTCCACACTTTTTGTTTAGTTTACAATTTGGTATTCGCTTGAAAACAGAACATTACCTTCAAAGAAAAGCAGTAACAAAGAGGACAATGGGACTGTGGGACTGAGTGGACTTTCAGGGGTATATCCACAGGTAGGGCAAAGGTAAGCCAGGTAACGGCTTGAGCCCACTCATTTTCCGCTATAAAGTTCCATGTAGTTGCTGCAGGGATATCATTTGCAAAGTATCAGCCATCGATATGAAGTGTCTGGTGAGTGAGATCTAAAGACAGAGAATTGTCTGTTAACAATAAAAACTCATTTAAATTTACGCATTTCTTTCATAGTTATTAATTTTATTCGCTCTGCTTGCCACTGCTATGGCCTTGCCACAACCTGCTGGCGGTTATCGACCAGGATATGGCGGAGGACATGGTGGTCATGGCAAGGGCGGAGGACATAATTACGGCGGTGGCGGCTCTCATCACGGACATGGCAAGGGAGGAAATCATGGTGGAGGCGGACAAGGACATCATCATCATCACCATCACTAGATAACATCACTAGATCCCTCAATGTATTTCCTACAGATTAATTTCTTACACCCCCCATGAGAACTACATAAATAAAAAGTTTAATACATTTGAAGATATAAATATTTCGTCTTTGCTTTGATTTAATTTGAATTGATTAAATTTAATTAAATACTAAATTGATCCTCTACCCTTAAATGGATGAAAATTTCTATCCTTACGACTGGTTTTACCGCAGCGTTCAGCCTTAATTAGGTAAATGACAATGGCTAAAACTGAGTCTAGATAACATAAATTAAAGGGTATTAAACGGTATCCCACAGTCTATAAGGCAAAATGTAGCAGAGAAGCCCTCTCGTTGATGAAATGAAGATCAAGAGAAACTGCGCTGCTCGGAGGCCAAACATTACAACAACAAAAATGCCAGAGCAGGAATAGACAGGCTTGGGTCTGCCTATTTCGCTCTCTCTCTCTCCTTCTGTACACATGTATTTTCGGGGAAAAAAACACAACTACCACAAGGAGTTAATTAAATAAAAGTAAATGCACAATTCTAAATATCAGACACAGTAAAATAAATTAAAGAGCAGAAGACTTAAGCGAGGAATAATTTCAAGATTTAAAGAAATTCGTTCTGGATATGGTATTATATATGACATACATATACATATACACATATACATCTTCCATCTACTGTTACCCTAATGTTACCCAATAATAAATGATACAAAAAAAATATATACATAATTTAAATTTAAAATATTTTTTTAACTAAATTTTTTTTAATTTTATAATTAAAAAATAAATTAAAAATGTATTTAGATATTCCGCTGAAATATTTATTTCAAAGCAAAAAAATATTTTAAAAAAATATGTTACTCATTATTTTTGGAGTTATTATTTATGGCCAGCCAGATTCGAAAAATCGACCACTGTGCAACGCTGCCGATCCGTATTAGGGCCACAATAAGGGAAGCCACTGTTTATCTTTCATATTGCATAAATTCTCCGCCTTACGGGTATCACTAACAGCAGTCAACGGTCACAAAAAAAAAGACGCTGGTTCTGAATTTTGGATTTTGGGAAGGGAACGGCAGGCGCTGCTGAAAGAATTCGTAACACTCAACAGCACAAATGAAAACCGAATAAACGACTTAAGAGTAACATAAAGTCATCAAAATCGAATTTGCATAGGGATTGGTTATTCCACGGCTAAGGGAACTTTATGGCTGAGCTAGGTACCTGAATAGATTAAATTATATGGTCCTAGGGGCCATCTGTTTTTCAGTGGCAGCTGCTGCTGGTGAATCCCTGCCGCAGCCAGGTAACAATGTTCATACACCAATTATTCATTTAAATAGTTCGCGTACCAAAAACAAGTCCAACATTTCTCATTAGTATTTCTCGCAGGAAACATCAAACATCATGAAATATTTTGTAAGTTAAAATCGGACATAGAAAATCTTTAGAATTTTCTTCAATAAATGTTTACTATTTTGTGTGTATTTTTTTATAGCTATCGATCATATTTGGTGCCTTGTCATTGACTGCGGCACAGTATTTCGGTGACGGTGGCATGCTCGGTGGCAATCCCTATGGACACCAGGGACCCCAGGTATCCTATGGCCAGCAGCAGCAACAGCAGCCCCAGACGCAGGACTACTTTAGCGGTGGCTTTGGCTATGGCTATGGGCCATCTTTTGCCGCCGGCTTGGATCAACTGCAGCACCAACAGCCACAACAGCAGCAGCAGCAGCAGCAGCCGGGACCGTATTTCTTTGGTCCATACGGAGGTTGAATCTGTCATGAGCTCTCTCTGCCCGTTTCGCCATCATTTCTGTGTGGTTCTGGCACCAGCTAAAAGTTCAATTCCCAGGCAATAAAATCTCCCACAATACCAATTACTGAAGTTTCCTTAACCATAACATAAGCAGGCAGCGATCCAAGGAGGAGGAGCAGCAGCAGCAGCAAAACGAGAAATTATTTGTAGACATTATGTGAGTTTAATTGTTTCAGCAAATGGCACGAAATAATTACGATGGTAAAAGATTGTCTGGGTTTGGGTTTGGGTTCCGGTATGTGGTCTGCTGGTTGGTTGCTTGGAACCTCTCAATCTCTAGTTGACGGCTCCCGGCGGCGGTGGGGGCTGGCCGGCGCACCAAGGCGTGCACGGTGGCAGTGGCGTTGTGGTGGGCTGTGCTGGGGTGGTGCTGGGCCGCGCCGAGACTCCAGCCAGCAGCAGCGATAGTAACAGCAGCTAGGGGGCACGCGTAAGCATAGGTCAAAACTATGAGATTAACTTAATATAATTGCTGTGACTGTGTTGGGGGCAACTTACGCAGCAGCACTTGAAATTCATTTTATTTTTTTTTTTTTTTTTGCTAAGCCACAGAGCACAGAGTACAGAAGTTTGTTTGGTTGTGCCTGGGCATGGGGCCTTATGTCTTGCTTATATACTGCTCGAGATTTCATAATAAACTAGAAAAATGGGTTGGTTTTTTTTGGGGGTCACAGTTTTATGGTTAGTTACCCTTGAAGAACGAATCATCCAAAAAAAAAAAGGGGGCATATCAGCGATTATTTTTGTGTGGAAACAAACATATGACGTCTAAGAAGCGAAATAAACTTGTTCCAGGCATAAATTTTATTCTTTAAAGCTCAAAACATGTTTTCAATAACCCACAAAAAAATTATTCAAGTTTCTTCAAGATATTATCGTTAATTGATTTACATTTAGGCACACGCTAAATGCTATAACAAACAAAAAACCTGATTAGAGTTGGTTATAGTCCAGAATTTATGTAGACAAAAATAAATATAAACAAAAACCAAGATGAACATTTTATTTCATATATGTGGAATCTACTGGAGTGGAGTTACACACATAAAATAAATGGAGCAATGCACATTTACCCGTGTAGAACGATCAATTGCCTACAGCGCATCGATTGCCCTATACCCAGTTCCAAAAAGCACTTAATTTTAAATATATTTCTATACATTTTACCCCCTATACATATATATATTTTAAGCTTATGTGATTGCCCAATTCTTCTTTGTTTTTGTGTTTGGCAGACTCCTATCTGACCCAATAATCGGACAACTTAATTGCTATTGCATTTGTAAAATATTTCTACACCCAGTTGTTGGCTCTTTTGCTGGGGTACATTTTTTTCGTATTCTTTCTGTTCTGTTTTGCCAGAGAGAGAGAGAGGGAGAGAGGGAGAAAGAGAAAGGTTGGCCGTGCCGTTTGTCAGGTATTTCAGATTGGTTTGTCCCCCCTCCCAAAATTGCTGCTCCGAAATTTGTTTACCCCAAAAATAAACGAAACTTGCATGTGGCAGGACAATTGAGGGTGAAATTATTTGCAAATATGTTTGATAATTGTTCAAAAACAACTTTAAAACTTTATATGTGTAATAATAATAATATATAATAAAATAATATTTTTTTTATATTTTATATTTGATATGTTAAATCTTTAATAATAACTTAAAAACTTCATATTTCTATTTAATATTTATATATTTTTTTTTTATATTTAATATGTAAAGTCTTTAATAATATCTAATAAAAAACTTCATATTTCTATTAAATATTTATTTTATTATATTTTACATTTAATATGTAAAATCTTGAATAATAACTTTAAAACTTCATATTTCTATTTAATATTTATTTATTTTTTATATTTTATATTTAATATGTAAATATCTTTAATAATAACTTTAAAACTTCATATTTACACTTAATATTTATTTTTTTATATTTTATATTTAATATGTAAAATCTTGAATAATACCTAAATGGAACTAAATACAACTCTGCCCCCGAAATATGTTTTTTTCTCAGAGTTAGCTCATTTTTCAGGCAAGAGTCTTTTCCATATTTTCATTAGCGATTATCCTCATTTGGTTTTCCATTCTTTCAAGCAATTTTCACAATTTATTGAAGCTCAAGATATCACAAAATTAACCGGAAATGCAATTCTCTGAGTGCTCTCAAGTGACATTTACAGGGAGCAGGTAGGCCACCACAACCAGTCTAGTGGCAGGCTGACCACAGTGCCTGCTCCTTTGTGTGAAGGGGGATGGGGGGTCAAAGATGCAGTCAAGCGCAAAAGGCCAACTGGAGAGTGTGCTACGCTGTTTGTATCTGTAAACTTCCGGTTCGTCACTCCTATTTAACACTGCTCTGGGCTGGGGCTGGGACTGGGACTGGGACTGGCTGCTGAGACTGGAGACTGGAGGATCGCAGGAGTAGCAGAAACAATGTGCAGTCATTGAGCGCAAATGTGCCAAATAATGACTTGCAGGCGAGTGCAATTTATATGATAAGCAACAAAAATAAATTGCAAGCAATTCATTTTACTTAAATGCAGCCCCAAAATGGAGCCCAACGAGAGAGATCCAAAAGCAACAAAATGCAACGTTTGCAACTTTATTTTTACCCCTTCATCAGGTGGTGTACGATGTGTGTGTGTGTGTGTGTGTGTACTTAATTTTTCTGCTACGCTGGCAACACTGCTTGATTTACTCCCTTGCTGTCTAATGAACCCCAACAGCAGCAACACGGGGGGCGGGAAAATGGAAAATGATTTAGAAAACCACAAAAAAAAATGTTTGCATACTTTTGCGCAGAATGGGATTTAGCTTTCATTTGAATTTGCGCGGAATGTGTGTATATGCGGCGTAATTAAGAGATACATTTTGTATACATTTTGGTAAGGGAATAAAACAGCTAAAACTGTGCACAAAATTATAGACCTTTGGGAAGGGGGAAACTGGAAACCATAAGAGCCGTAAGTATTCGAGTTTTGTTTGAGTTTGTTACAGGGAAGCCACATGAATGGAATGTTTGGCGCAGGTTTGAAACAAACGAACAGGTTCGAATCGAATGAACAAGTTCGAAACGAACGAACAGGTTCGAAACAAATGAACAACATCGAAGCGAACGAACAAGTTCGAAGCACTGAGACCAGGGACTGTGTTTTATTTAAAATATTTTACAATAATTTAATTTTAAATTTTTAATTTAATTTTAATTTTTAATTCATTTTAAATTTTTAAATTTAAATTTTAATTTCATTTTTAATTTTTATTGACTCATAATGAATATTTTGAGTTATACTTTACAGCTAAAAAAAAAGAATCATTATTTTGTTAGCTATATTTTTTGCTCAACAATAAAACTCAAGTTATAATTTCGAATTTTCCTTAGGGAATACATATTTTATTATTATATTTATATTATATGTATATTATATTTATTTCAGTAAGACAAGAAAATTAAAAAAAAAAAAAATCGTGTTCGATCACACATCGAACCGGCAAAGAAACGGCACAAATTGACCGTTAATCTCTCGAGCAAGTTTGAACCCAAAAACCGTTGATTCTTTCCATATTTTTGTTTCTTTTAAAACTCGACGCCAAAACCAAAAAGGTTCTCTGCCACTCCATCCCTCAGCTACTACCACCTTTTGGCACAAATCCACTGACCACACACAGACGGGCCGGGCCCCACAACAACATCCCATTTACCCATGGAAATGTCGACGGGGCAATGGGGAAATGGAAAATTGAAAACCTTTTTTTTTTGTTTTTTGTTTTTGTGTTGCTTTTGTGTGATTTTCCTTTACAGGATTTGCGTATAAACAGCTGGCAAACGCTCTCAGCGTGTCCTGTCCCTGGCTTCAGTGGGGTTCGCGCTCTCGTGTTGCTAATGAGCCGACAGCGACAGCTAATTGAGCGTAGAGCTGAGGCTTCAAAAGGGAAATTAATGTGAAAATCGAGCACCCTAGCCGTCCCTCCCCCAGTCCCCTCCCCCAAACAGCCTTTTGCATTAGAGAAGCACCTAAAGAGCCTTGTTACACTCCAGGCTGACACACGGGACGGGGGCTTACCGAGATGGTTTCACTTCATTTTATTTTATTTTTCTTCTTCCCCTTTTTTTTTTTTGGTGAAATTTATTGCATGCAATAAACATGACGCGAATGCTCGTACGCCGGAGAAGCAGCAGAGCAGCAGCAGCGGAATCAGCATTACAGCAGGAGCGGCAGCAGGAGCAGCAGCAGGAGCGACAGTGGCAGCAACAAGGACAAATCCAGTTGTCCATAGTCCTCGTATTCATATGCAAAATTAATGCTGGCTAGGGACAACCCAACCCAATCCGATGGGAACTTTGGCTATGGGAAAGTTCAAGCCTCAACCGGGCTTTCCAGGCCAGGTGCGATGTCACGTCGTCGCCGTCGCCGTCGCCGTCGTCGTCGTCGCGGCATTGCAGCGGACAACACACAAAGGATACGGGATCCAATGGGCTGGAGATGTGCAGAGGGCAGAGAGCGGTGCCCAAAATGAAACTTTTTGTTTGGTTGTGAACAAATCGAAGATGAAACACTCTAACTAAAAGCGATGCAAAAGCCATTTTGCAGGCACTACTCTTCGGAGTAAATCTGGTTCTGGGAGAGTGAATGTACCCGCTCGCTGATACGCCAAAAGGAGATCCCACATGCAGCAGCACATCCGTTGACCCGACAGCTCTATAGCTATGGTAACGTTCCTCTGCTCCTCTCTTCACGTCACTTCTGCCCTTAACTGTTTGTTTTTTTTGTTGCTTTCGTCTGGCCATTCTCTTTCACTGCTCTTTCAGAGGATGTACCAGGATGTGTGAGTGTGAGTGTGTGTGTGTGTTGTCCTTCATTGTTGAAAGCTGAACCTTGGGAGCAATCAGTGGATTATACGCTGCTTTTGCAGTAGGACCTCCCACGCGACCTATGAGCCAAAGTTGCCCCCATGGCACACCATGGCACACAAACACACACACACACACATCCACAGCCCTAGTTATATGCAACCCATTTTGTTTTTTTTTTTTTTATTTCATTGTTCTTTAAGAGTTACGCCTGTGCCCCTGTAAC